CCCCGCCGTTCTGGGGAGGGGCAGCGCTCTCGGTGGCACTGGGTTGAGCTCAACCCCAGGCTGGCGGCGTTCTTCCACACATTCGTGCACGCAGGCCCCTCCCGGCCTTCCCAGCGGTGGACCTGCCCGCCCTGGACAGCCATCCAGAGCCTCTGGTTCCAAGAGTGCACGGTGCTGTGCACAGTGGACGCCAGCAGGCTGCCGCACCCTTGGAGACACGAGTGGACCTCGAGGCTCTCTGCTAGCCTTCACGCCACTGCCCTGCAGGACAGCCAAGAAGGAGAGGTTCCAGAAAGTTCACTACAGCTTGTGACCACCGTGGTCCCTGATTCTTCTCTAATTGGCCAGGGCCACGAGAGCGTTCTCTGTGGGGGCCCAATGGCCGGACGGCCAGTCCCGGCCTGGGGGAGAGCAGCAGGCCCCGCTGCCCGCCAGCTTTCGTGCACACGCGCTTTCCTGAGAAAGCAGGAAGTCAGTCCGCTTCTCCTCCCGTGCGGAATTCCAACCTGTCCCTCAAGACTAAAAATAAGGAGTGCCTCGTATCCCCAAGGGGACACACAGAGCGTGTCCTTCCCCGCGGGGACCCAGCCTGGCCCCTCCGAGGTCCGCGGTCCGCGGTCAGCGGTCAGCGTCCGCCAGCCTGCTGCTCTTTCAGGCCCGCTGTGTGGCTGGAATTGCTCAGACGAACTGTTTCTGTGCTGTGTGTTTCATGGGCAGAGATGAGCAAGTGCATTTGAGTGCACAAGAGCGAGGCCGTGCTTGATTAATGTAAGATGTGGGTTATTGAAGCCTGGAGTTCTGGTAAAGCCAGATTTTGGAGCAAGAGCTGAGGCTGGTACAATGGCAGGAGTGAGCAAGATCTGGACGTCCGTGGCCAGAAATCCCAGTGACCTGGGCACAGTGGACCAGGCTGGAATCCTGGCTGTGTGGGAAGATGGAGGTCCCAGCCCCGTTGCCTCGACCCCAGCTTAACCAGAGCCGAGTGCGTGGCTCATAACAGATCCACCCCAGCAGGACAATCCAAGGGACACCATCTCAACAGAGGGAGGTGGACTCAGCAGTGCCCGCCTGTCATCCCAGAGTCACGGAAGCCTGAAATGGGAGGATCACAGTCTGGGTGTATGCCTGGGCGAGACGCCAGACCCTAGCTCAAAAACACAGGCCCAGGGGTGTGGCCCAGTAGTAGAGCACCTGCCAAGCAACCTCAAGGCCCTGAGTTCAAACTCCAAAACTGAAAGGTAAAACAACAACAAATGATAATAATAATTGGCAAGAAAGTAAAGAACAGAGTGGCGGTGGTGAGGAATCAGATATTCACTTCACATCTCAGGTCTCAGATCAGCTTCTCATTTGACGCTTAAGACACACGTGTGGTCAGACTCTCAAACCCCGATGTACTTTCTAGAAACATGAGGCGGAGTCACAGGTGCAGACACACCATCAGGACAGGCCCCAGCGCCGGGGCCTCAGCGCCACCAGCGCCGTCCACCAGGAGCCCGTGCGGTAGTGACTGTTTCCGTCATTTGTCACTCCAAAGAGCTGTTCTGACCATGTGCTCCATTCAGGAAGGCAGCTCCTGTTGCTTTAAAATTGCTTCCACTAGTTCCTGAGTCCCCGGCTCACAGGCCCGTGTGCTGAGCTGAGGAGGGTGGCCGAGTATGTTCTAGAACAATGGTAGAGCTGGTGGAGAAATGCAGCATTGTGGGCTCCTTGCCGGCCTTTGCTTTGAAGTTAAATCACAGCAGCGACCAGGAGGTGTTGCTTCGTGTGGGCTGCGTTCCCGTAAACTTGAAATGGCCTTTGGAGTTTCTCTTTCAAACTAGAAAGGAAATGTGTGTTACTTCCTTTCAAAGACATGGGGGTTGTTGCTGTAGCCAGTTCCCTAGGAACACTTCTCTTGTTTTTGGCAACTACATATGAAAAGATCCCAGGCAAATGAAGCTGGGGTGGAGTCTGCCTTTGTTCTGACAATGAAATCCAAATGCGCATTTGGCATTTCTCATGAATGAAATTTCCAGGTTTGGAAGTTTTGGGTGACATGAATCATGTGCTAGCATTGTTAAATCGCCTCCGCTCAGCACAGGCCGGCGCGGAGCGGGGCGCTGAGGAGCGGGGCGCTGCGGAGCGGGGCGCTGCGGAGCGGGTCCGCGGTGGCTCCCGCTGCGGTCTGAGGAGGCCTGAAGCTCCTCCGTCTGCTCTCACGCCAAGCCGCCCTTTCAACAGGTGCCCTGGGTGACGACGACCGCAGTCAGCCTTCTGCTCTCTGGTGCAACCAGGGTTCAAACTCACGCCTGGCACCGGCGTGGCAGAGACGCCACCCTCGAGCCACACTCCTCAGCGAGAGCTACAGAACAAAAAGGCGCGGGCAGCAAGCACCTCTTTAGACACGCGGAGACATGCTGCTCTTGATGAGAAGCGGCCATGGCAAGACCAACCTGTTCTTTGACACCATCACGACCTCTGATGAGCTCACCAGCTCCTGCTGCTCCTGGCGGTGTGGACCCTCCCCCTCCCCCTCCCCTGCTGGGGCTGCGGTGCAGCCCGGATTAACACATGGGCTACCTGCGTGCTGTTCTACCAACCCAGCCCACCATGGGGCCGGGGAAGACACTAGCACCGCTGCTCTGCTTCTTCCCACGGCAGACAGCAGCCACCAACACTGCACCACCTCCATCACCACCACTGTCACCACCACCGTCAGCAACACCATCAGCAACACTGTTACCACCACTGTCACCACCACTGTCACCACCACCATCAGCAACACTGTCACCACCACCGCCAGCAACACTGTCACCACCACTGTCACCAACACCGTCAGCAACACCATCAGCAACACTGTCACCACCACCACCGTCACCACCACTGTCACCACCACCGTCAGCAACACCATCAGCAACACTGTCACCACCACCGTCACCACCACTGTCACCAACACCGTCAGCAACACTGTCACTAACACCATCACCACCACCGTCACCAACACCATCACCAACACTGTCACCAACACTGCACCACCACCATCACCACCACTGTCACCAACACCGTCAGCAACACCGTCAGCAACACTGTCACCAACACTGCACCACCACCATCATCACCACTGTCACCACCACTGTCACCAACACCGTCACCAACACTGCACCACCACCATCATC